GCAGTTTGCGTGGCTGTTGCAGTTTGTGTTGGTGTTGCAGTTTGTGTTGCTGTTGCAGTCTGTGTTGCGGTTGCAGTTTGAGTAGCCGTAGCAGTTTGCGTGGCTGTTGCAGTTTGAGTCGCTGTTGCAGTTTGAGTCGCTGTTGCAGTCTGTGTTGGTGTTGGTGTTGGTGACAGTGTTTCCGATGCTGATTGAGTAGGTTCTAGTGTTTTAAGAATGAAACATTTGGAATTGATGTGGGGTCTTGGTATAGGTGGAATCATGGGGGTATGGTTGCGGATATGAATCAATGCTCAGCGTTACTGTTGGATTTTGTGCGATTTATTTGGAAGACTATATAGTGGTTAGGGTCGTGTAGACTAGTACTTAAGTATGGGGTGTTTGAGTGAACTGATCACGGGAATAGTGTTAACAGTTTTGATTGGTCAACACAAGATGAAAATGGAGTAATGTTCGAAGATTTATGTCATATAGGTTAATCAAAGCGAATAAGCGCACATCTTGGAAAGTATGTCGAAAAGTCATATTAGAAATCAGAAAAAGCTTGTCAAGATTAGCCGACTTGCTGCGCTGTACGAAACTGAATCTAATGTATTCCTAGTCTGGTTGACATGTTGATTATTTCTTTTTACTGTGTCTAGTTGAGATTAGGGTCAAGACTGTTTTTGGCTGTGTTAAATCTTAGTATCGTGAGTTAGGTCGGTTTTTGGTCTCTACCAAAAATAAAAAAAATTGAGAAACTCACGTATTATAATTGATGGACTTGTAGCTGGTGTTGTTGTGACTGGCATACCTGAAACATGTGTTGTATGTTTTGTACTTGGAGCAGTTGTTGTTTGTGGAGTTGTGGTATTGGCTTCAAAATTAAATAGAATTAGTTTTAATAGAGTAATGTTATAAGAAGAGAATGTTGTAAAAAGTATTATAATAGGTTAACGATACGATATGTGTAATTGTCAGACATATGTAAGGAGACAAAGGATATCTTGATTGCGAACTTTTCTACTTGTCCGATAATAAATGATCTGTGGATGACGGTGTAGAAAGCGAGAAGAGAGAAAACGATAAAGATCAAATATTTTGAGATAGTGGGTCGATGTGATTGCTAGGTGAGTATAGTATCCGTAACCGTGCATGCACACTCACCGACACTCTAATGTTCTACTGAATTTTTAAAATAGTGAGCAATCACGAAGATCATTACTAATTAACAGTTTTTTCAACGACCATGCAAGTATTTTAGGGATTTGGTAATTGGACCGTTTGTATGTGCTAGAATTATTTTTTTACGACGGATAATGCGCATCTTTGTTGAAAATTCAAAATAGTTCATTGTAAGGACATTTTGATTTAGTTAATACTTTTCAAAGAAGAAAAATGAACGCGACCCTTTTTCTTTCTAGTGGACTCACCTAAACATGTCTTTGCTGTTGCACCACAATTGTTGCTTGAACAATCTGCGTTGACGAGACAGCTCTTTGTATCTGCGCATGCTGAGCAAATATGGCCTCCGCAGTCCACGTCGGTTTCATCCTGATTATGGATGTTGTCGGTGCAGGTTTGAACTAAAAAGATATATAAAAATGAGTAGTATTATTTTCATTGTTTGAAAATAGGCTGAGGCTCGATTATCTATCATCATAATAAAAAAGAGCCTTATTCTTAAAATGGAATGAACTATCATGTGATCTTCACTTAGACTAAGTCATAAATTTGCTTATTTTCCTATTCACATACATCGTTTTCTATAGAACACTTATCATTGCCGTCATAGGTTGTATGAAAATAATGAAGTTATGCAAGAGTTTCCATGTAGAGTATCACATTTATTTTCAATACAATGTTATTCGCCGATCATGTAATAACAAAAATACTCCTAAGATTCAGAAATGTAAGAGAAAAACTTGTTGATTATTTATCCATGTATAGCGTATCACAGCGGAAGACGTAGGAGCCAAGAGTATATTATTACGAAATGATCGTACAAAATTGCATCTGAAGTCCTAGTCATTGTTTATTTTTTCAGTAGAGCCTATTAAGCAGAATTACTACGTAAAATGAGCTCTACAAATTTAATATACAAATTCTAAAATACATCAATGACTGATGATCTCATCTTTAATCGATTTATCAGAAATTTGCCTTTTTGTAGTATACTATTTACCTAGTTTTTGTCGAAAATTTAT